CTTCCAGTATCTTTTGAATTTATAAGTGGCAAGTCTTAACGAAAAGGTCATGAATTTCTTCAGTTACGTTCTTCCATTCTGAACATGATGGTGGTTCCACATCAAGCCACCTGCGAGTTAGAGCTTTTTTGCAGCTGCTATTAGTATTAATAGAAGATATATATCAGAATTCTTCAGCTCTTGGGGTAAATTACCCAGAAAAATCAGAGAAATGTCAGCATAAATTTAAGTCCATTTTAATATTGATTTCTCTTATCACTTCTGACCAATAAGGTGTGATCTTAATACATTCCCAAAAAACATGAAAATGTCCCGCAGAGACATGTCCACAGTTCCTCCAGCACTTTGCATTTTCAGCATTGCTACAATGTTTGTTTTAATATTAGGAGTAACAAAAAAAATGCACCATACATTTCCAGGAAAATTCTTTCCACAGGCCGGAAAGTAACGTGTGAATCACAGAATTGCATATATTTGACCAAGCATCATCGGTTATTAATATTTTGGCTTCTTTTTCCATTCAACCTTAAGATAAATTGTATTACATTTCCTCTCCATTTGTAGACATGAGTACAGTCTTTGCTCTCTGTTGCATCTGCACCTCCATAGAGAAGTCTTGTGTGCACATACAGACTATAAACAAGGCTCCACCATAGAAGACAGACGGCTATAGCATTTGCAAGTATTAAAGTTATGCTGCACTTTAAAAATAGTCAGTTAATATTTTAATGTTGCATTCTTTTTCTAAGTTATAAATAGCTAGAAAGCTACCAAACCTTTTCAAAGTTAGAAAAGGTTTGCTAACTTTCAAGGCAACATGACAAGTCAGTAATTCACTGACTTGGAAGTTTAAATTTTTTGCTTTGCTCAGTGTAACTGTTAGAATGACCCTTAGCGGCAGGCTTAAAAGACTTAAAACTGGAGTCTCTGCCAACAGTACTGTGCCTTGTCCCGTCGAGCTGCCATGAAGACCTCCGCCAGTTGTGCTGCTTTCTCCGCTGTCTATGAATCGCACTCCTGAAGCCACACCTCCCGTTCAGGGTTGACCATCCTCAGGAACTATTCCAGGATCATTGTCTCTGAAATTTCGTTTACAGTTGCCGTGTGCAGTTTAATCCACTTGAAAAAAATTTCTTTGAGGCGCACATACAGTTCTTGTGGAGTCTCTCCTGGAAAAATGTCCAAAGAACGGAAACGTCGACGATAGGTTTCATGTGTAATCTCATACTTTTGCAATATGGCCACCTTCACCTTTTCATAATCTTCTGAGTCTGCAAAATCCATCAAGACATAAGCACTTCGTGCTTTACCAGTCAGTAGCGGAATTAGTCGGATAGCCCATTCCTCCTGTGGCCATCGACAGACTTGGGCCATTCTTTCAAATGTGGTCAAAAAATGTTCGATGTCGTCATCAGGTAGCAAAGGATGTAGCTTAGGTTCTCTGTGCACGCTGATCTCCCTCTCTGATCAGACCAACCAAGATGGCTGACTTGTCCCTTCATCAGGATCAACTATGTCCTCTTGAGGCTGCAGCGCTCCAGGCTGTGTCTGATCGCCTTCAGCGTCATGCTGCAGAACAGTCACTTGCTGCTGAATTTGGTGAAACTGGTGCTGCACAGACTTCCATCTTTGCTCTTGACGGGTTTCTTACTGACTGAGACTGAATGAGCGATTTCACCAAATCTGAAAGCTCCTCAATCTTCTCAGAATTGCTGTGTGCCACACCCCCAGGATCAGCAGATGCCATGGCTCCCTCATCAGGCTCCACTTGTTGGTCTTGTTTCCTCTTTTCTCTCTATTTTGTCATCCTCAGCTCCACTTTGTGACTTCGATCCCACTTCTGACACCACTTGTTAGAATGACCCTTAGCGGCAGGCTTTAAAGAGGAGTCTTGAGCCAGAGAAATATAGTCCAGATGTTGGGAATTAAACAACAAGGTGTTTAATTCCCAACATTTAAACAAACAATCCTGCATACATTGGGCAATGAGTCTCTGCAGCAGACACACCCACACTGATGTGGCCAACCTGTAGACTTTTATAGTCCCTGGCTGCATCAATCCACAATCCCCCAAAAGCAGGATTAAACAAAATACATACTGTATACACCAAACAAGACAACAAATCTTCCAGATAATATTAAACACTCTTCATTTCATAGCAATCATTTCATTTCTAAAAATACCCTTATCAGTTCTAAAAGGCACAGTGTTTTACTCCCCTCTATATTTGGTCTCTCCCAGAACCTTTATAAAGTGCCCAGGCCCCCAGGGAATCTTTTAGCCTGAACACCCTATAGGAAAGAACTGAGGTAAGCCACAATTTACATACACAATTCAATACATTGAAAATGTTTTCATACAAGTAATGAAAACCTTCATTACAGTAACGTTTCATCTGTATGTTTTGTAACTACAGTTTTGAATTGAGTCAATGGGCTCTGATGAGGGATTTACACAAACAACAACAGGTGGGGAGAAGAGGACGCCGTGTCCGTGGAGCACCAGGTGGGGCAAGTGAGACAGCGGTTGCAGAGTTGGTCCACACTCCAGACACCCCTGACCATCTCAGCAGAGGACTTTGCGAGTGGAGAATATAAGATCAGCGGTTGCTGCTTTTGAACACACAAGTTAGCTCAGTTAAATTTTTTGCACATCATAAATTATTTTAAAATTGTATTTGATGTGGCACAATGTTAGCTGTTTATAATGAGCAATTTTTATCTGTCCCCAGCTTACTTCCCCCCATCAAGTAAGCTGGTAACATCTTACCAGCACCTCATGATGTCACCAGCTTACTTCTGTATATGACATGTTTCAGAGTTATGACAGAAGTCTGAGGTTTACAGGGTGGAAGAGGATGGGTGAAAGCACCGCCCTGCGGGGGCTCCAACGTTGCTGGGCTGTCAGTAAGGTAGCTGGAAATCCAGGTGATCAGGCAGTTGTCCACTCTCATTTTGAGTGGGCTGAATCATAACGATACTTAAAAAATCCAGGAAGAGTTTCCTGACGTTACCACTTTCCTTGTCCAGGTGAGATTGGGCTCAATATGGGAAGTAGACAATGGCATCCTCCACTCCAGCCTCTGCCCGGTAGGCAAAGTAGAGGGGCTGTTCAGTGTCCTTTACCTGCATTTTGAAGTGGTTGAGGAAGAGCTCCACCAGAAATTTCATCAGATGTGATGTGAGTGCCACTGGTCCGATGTCATTCAGTTCACTCGGCCTACTCTTCCTAGGAACAGGAATGACGCACGATGTCTTCCAGAGTGTAGCCACACTCCCAAGTTCCAGGCTCAGGTTGAAGATTAGTTGTAATGGTTCTCTGAATTCGGTAGCACATATCTTGAGAATCCGTGGGGATACTTTAATATGTTTCAGCCCCCTGCACATCAGGTGCTGCAGCTTCATCAGATATGATCAGACGTAAAGAGTGGAGGAAGGAGAGAAAGACTAGCTACCTTGGAGAAGGAGGTTGGTCAGAAGGCTGGTGTAGGATAGAGCTAAGGGGAAGATGCCATAATGGTGGAATGACTGCACCTGCTGCCAAGGAGGAGGAGAGCACCTGAGACAGAGTAGATGTAGTGATAGTGGTGGGTGTAGCATAATTGCCAAATCTATTGAAAAACTTATTCGGTTCATTAACTGTCTTTATCTCCCCCCTCTGCTAGTCTGATCTTTGTGCCCTATAAAGGTTCTGAAACCATGATACCATACATCACTCAGGCAGTTCTCCCTCAGCTTCTGCTCCACCTTTATCCTGTGTCAGTCATTGCCTCCCTCAGACATTTCACCTTCCTTTCTGCTGCCTTCATGACTTGGCTGGAAAACACTTAAAATGTGTGTTGCATGATAAGAGAAACAAATACAAACAGATTGAAGTATTTTATTGTTTGTGTGTTTTATGCAGTGGCATCTCAGCTGGAACTGATGGTAATCTGTTAAAATAAAACAAACAAATGGATATAAGTATTGTAACTGTTTAAAATGCACTGAAATGTTTTGTGTAGATGTGGCTTACCTCTGTTCATGCTAAAAAAAAATTCCCCAGGGGCCTGAGCACCTTTTAAAGGTACCAGAAGAGACCAATGCAGATGGAAGAGGGGCAGCAATAGAACAACGCACTTTAGAAGTTTAATGTTGGATTTATATTTATAAAAATGTGTTTTTAGAAATGAAATGGCTGCTTAAAATGAATAGTATTTGCTAATATTATTCTCAAGATTTGGTTGTTTTTGTCAAGTTTGTTTGTGTGTATGTATTGTTTAACCCTGTTTCTTGGTAGATTTGTTAATTGGAGCAGCCCGGGACTATAAAAGGCTGCATGTTGCTCACATTGGAAGTTGGTTGCCGCTGAGACCCTATGCTGTTGTAATCCGTTATCTATGTGCTAAATGTTGGTGAATAAACATCCAGTTGGTCTGCACCATTTCTCTGCCTCAAGAGAATCCAGCCTCTAAGGGCCATTCTAGGCCATTTAGTCCTGCAGCCTTTACTGATGATACTGAATTAATCCAGAAGCGGCTATTACCAGAAGGTAACACAAATTGACTCCTTGTTACCTGTGGTTTATTATCTGGGTAACATCAAACAGTATTGTTCGCCACCATCTCTACACAGAAATTAATATAATTTGTGAGACACTGAGTTATCCCCTCTACGTCCCCACCTTGAGCTCCCAGCAGCACATCCCAGTTTATGATGTTGAAACAGACTCTCAGGGCCTCCTCTGCTGTAGGAGGATGCAGCAGAGGCAAGGTGTCTCCACTCACTCTTCTGATGGAGCCAGTGCGACGCCTTGCCTTTGTACCAGGGGTGGGGCTATATGTACACCAGGTTGTTTTTTCTGATATCGTTTCAATATTAATCTTCAAAGTGAATGTGTATGCCTAATGTTTCAATGTTGATTCACTCTTTATTTTGCTATATCAGATGTGACTGATTTCTCCAAATGAAAGTTATGATTCTGTCTATAGAGCAGAAACAAACTAGATCATAAAAATATGTAAAAATCACAGAACATTTTATTCAGTCGGCTGTATCTTAACACCTAAACACAGAAATAAATTTCCTCTGCCTTTTCAAGATCTAAGACCATAAATAAGACCAACATAAGGCAAGTGTGAAAATATTTTCCATGTCAGATGAAAGATGTACAGGTACAATCACAACAACTGTGCAAAAAAAAAAAAAAACACTTACATACAAAGTACAACTAACAATTCACATTGGATGACCAATATGACATCAGTAATGCTGACTGTTTAGGGGCAAAAATCTTGTTCCTTGTTATCATCATAATAATGATAAGAATGATTGACGGACTGTATGTCGTCTGGGTGTATCACAAATACTACAACATTCTAAGGAGAACCAATAAAGCAAATGGACAAAGCAAGAAGGCCATAGAGAACTGATGATACTGAATCAATCCAGAAGTGGCTATTTGTTTTTGGCACAGTAGGTTTGAATGATTAACAGTATGGCAGTGAATTATCAGCAGTCATTAGATGTCATTAGATGTTCTAGTGTTTTGGACCTCACTGGCCTTTATACACTGTCATAAAAAATCCCCGCATTTCAGTAAAGTTGTGAAATAAACCACATCTTCTCCCTTGAGTAAAGAACAAGATGTGGTTCCTTAATCAAGGTTTAAGTGGTGCATTACAACCAGTTCAAATTTAATTCAAATTAAATTCAAAAATACTTTATTGATCCCCAAAGGGAAATTGAATGTTGTTGTAACTATTATATTAATTCAGATGAACTGGCACTGTCTACAGATTACCAAAGAGTACATGATGGAAATTAGACATCGGTATTATACAGAGTACAAACTCAATCAAGTGCTTGGAATGATGTCTTTTTGTTAAAGACATCATTCCAAGAGAGCTTGGAATGATGTCTTCAGTCAGTGTTTTAAATGCCTGACTGTGATGTCTGGGGATGCAATAAGACCAGTGCTAATAAGCACAGTGCCCTGTCTGTTAATCTGAGAAATAAGTTCACCATTAGTATCTGATGCTGAAAATTACATGTTGCGGATTACATACCTGACTTTGTATTTGAAGAACTGATTTCATGTAGAGAACTAGTTTGGACGTAAGGACTGGTTGACCAAGGCTTGTTGGTTATTTTTGGGAAGTCAGTGCTGGCATGTTCCTTCAGTTGCACAGTCCCATTGGCATGTTTTTAAGCACATATATTTTTGTGATTTTCCCTGATTTATCTGAATGGCAGAAAAGTCTGAAGTGATCCTGAAAAGGAATGAGGGGTTCCTTAAACCAAAAAGGGGTGTTGACTGTTTATAGACCCAAAATTCAGGTGTTTAGAATTTAGAGGATCTTATACTTTCTAATCCAGGCTTAATCACAAGTCCTGCTAATCATTTCCAAAATGCACTCCAGGTGGTTAAAATTAATCTCAATAATTTTTAACAGCAAGTAAAATACTTATGCAGACTTGAGTGTTCCTAGCGTTTTATGGCAAGACTTAATGCAAATGGACATAATAACCATTCAAAGGTCAGTTAAAGCATGTTTTAGTGCACATGTGAATAATGTCACCTTTAAAAGAATATTGAGGACATTCAGTATAGTCTTCTGTCTTTCAACATAACCATGAAGAGAGCTACATGTACACCTAAGACAAAAAGGAAAACATTGTGCCCATTTTGTGGCAACAGTAACATCCACAGAACAAGTTTTTACCTAATCTTAAAGTAACTAAAATATAAACCATCATTAAAAAAAGACAACTTCACAAAAACACTAGTCTACTCAATGAACTAAGATGTGAAGTCCTCCGGTTTAGCATACAGCAGAACTTGTTATTGAGGTAATCAGTTCACGGTAAAAGAGCTGAGCAGACATTTACCTTATTTTAGAGACGTTGGGGCAGATCACCTGTTTAAAACAAGACAGCAATACACATATGGACACACAAACAGTGTTTTCTTGTATTTTTATAGATTTGGGACACTGAACCACAAAACAGCTTTCAAATGTAGGTGTCATTACAGAGTTACATTCACATGGTTTGTCTGAATGGGTGATGAGTGTACTCACCCTGCAATATCAGGGCTGACTGGAAAACTACAAGCAAAAAAACAGAGGCACATTCCTCTTCTGAGGCAGAGGGGTTAAGGAGGACTTATTTTTCTCTTCCTTATTATTCTGTTTTCTACCACAACATTCCTTTTTTATGACAGATTCTCATACATCTTCAGGACAGAATCTGGAGGCTTCGGGTAGTAGCCGGTAGTGCAGGGCTTGTCTGGGGAAAACCTGGGAAACTTGTAATCCAGAGGAAGATCTAGACAGAAGAAAAACATGGTGACTGAGTGGCTGGCTTGTTCCAGATTAATACATTAGTAACAATTGGTTACTGATTAACGGTTTAAGATTCATGCACTTTGTGTTGTGCACATGCAGTAAATGTTCAGTCCAGCATAGATAGAACTTAGTTGTATCTCTCAATTGTGAAGGACACCATGCTATTCACATGAAACTGAACATTTTCATATAGATTGAGTTAATGAGGTAGTATCAGTAAACATTGCTGAAATGTTTGCATAATTCATGGTGGAGGCTGCTTTCTTTTTATTAAAGTCTCATTCTGCAGCCCTGAGTTTAAATTTGGAACCAATTTTATCTGTGGCTTCACATCTGCGTCTGATTCAGTTACTCCTTTGATTTGTGTGAACATTTCTGTGTTGGAACAGAATGATGGGAATGTTTAATGTGGTTGTGTGAGATTTTTATTTCAACCACTGAATCTTTAACATCAAGCTGTGATTTCCACACACAACACTAGGAGTTCTCATGCTGCGTCTTCATATGGACAGATTTACAAGAAGTAGCATGTATATGTTTATTCTGTTTTAGTGGAAGAAAATCAAAGGTAATCTGACAATTTTTTTGAATACTGACACAATAAACATGTATTTGTCCCCATTTTTCAGTGAGAGGAACCAAATCAATCACATTTCACATGTACAGAGAAAACAAAGAAAGATCTTTAGATTAAGAAAATTAATAAACATGAAGCATCTATTCCTTTATTTTCTACGCACAGGCCACAGTTGGTACCTTCAAATCAGTAAGCTGATTTTTGCAACACCACATAAGAGGAACATTTTAGTTAGTTTTTCCAAGTATAATTTGTGGTTTCTTTAATGTACCAGCGTTAGTGAATTGCTAATGTAAAGTGCAGCTCAAACACAAAGTTTATCATGACACGCCTACCTGTATGTTTTAATCTGTCTGTACATACAAATGATTTTGAATGTGGAGCAGTAACTATTCTGGCAGAATGGACACCAGGAGTGACTTTGATTCGCTTCAAATGGAATAAAAAAATTAATATATATTTTTTCACAGATATTTCTGTGATGAAACTTTAATCTTCATTGTTATTTGGTATGTTTTTACCCCACCTACCTGCTATGTGCTCCACACTGGGGATAGCCATGGTACTGTATGTGTGAATACAGTGACAGCACCAAGTCAGCTTCTGCACCTCGCTTTTGTGCATGTCAACAAAGTAGGACCCCCACTGGTTAGACACAGCAGAGGGTGACTTCATGCCTTGCTCCTGCAGAGACATTTGACACACAAACCAAACTGCAGTACTTTGTTTGAAGACTAATTTTCAGACAAGTTCAACCCTGTTTAAGGGAGCTAGAAATTCTAATGAGCCCAGACTTCAGGCTTTCACCAACTCAGAACACTCATAGGGTTGTTTCCGGGGATTGCAATGAATTATTATTTCTGCAAATTCCCCTGTACGCCACACAATATAAATACATTTTACAGGAGTATACTCGAGTGATAATTAACAATCATAGAGTTATCAGAATGTGGTGTTTTAAAAACTGGATGTAAAAACACAATGACTGTTATCAGCATTTTAAAAAATTGTTTTTCCACAGTGCATCTAATTTAATCTGCAACAGTTGCATAACACAGACTCAGTGGGAGAACCAAGAGTCAGAATTGGCCGTAGAGACCAATTCTGTCTGAACATACAACCATTTTTTTAAAATGCCAAAAAACGTTACTCGAGGCTGAGAATCAGATGGCTGATTTTACACACTATTAAAACTATGTCACATAAATGTTTACACTACAGGGCAGTTTCACCAGTCTGAATCTGTAAGGACGGGGTGAGATGTGGCTTAAAGAAAGAAGAAAAACCAAACGTTGCTTTTTTTTTATCCATCTAATAGCTTGAGGATGCTTTCTCTTTCCTTCAGAGCTTTCCAGGAGTTTTAAAAAAAACGGTTGTAGGAAACCTCTGACACCATCGCTGACAGAAGCTTTTAATCATTTCATAATATCATAAATTGCAATCCGATTTTCGTGGGTCATTTTACCTCTTTTGAATATTTGGTTATCGAGGTAAAAGGCCATAAACAAATTTCACTGTTATCTTTGAAAGTACAATCTCCATTGACTCACTTAGCAAAACAACTACTATCATAAAATGTTTTTTCACAGACAACACAGCAGAAACCTTTCATCAAAGATATTTTTTCACAGATATCTGTCTACCCTACGCCCTCTTTAGGGCGTAGGGTAGACAGTAGCGTATCTGGCTAACAAAGAAAGTTACCAAGTGTTGCTTGTTGGCATTTTGTCCTGCTAACTCCTAAAGGTTGCTTGAGAAATGCACCAGCTGTATTTTGGTATGAATAAATGGAATTCATAAATTCAACTCACTGACTATTTTTCATCCTCATACATCAAGAACTTAGCATGAAGAATAGTGAAATTCTCCACTATATACCAAAACTATCTTCAACTAAACAGAAACAAAACTGAAGTTATTATTGGACCTAAAGAGGAACGCTTTGAAGTCAATGAACAACTTCAATTATTAAAGCTGGAAAACAGCGATCAGTCCTGAAATTCAGGTGAAATGATGGACTCTGACCAAATAAAGACAGTTACAAAGTCGGCCTTCTACCAGCACCAGAGGACTACTGTCTTAGCAAGATCGAGAGGAACCCATCCCTGCGATTATTTGTAGTTGCATTAATTACTCCAACAGTGCCTTTTCAGATCTGCCCAAAAAAATTAGTCAGCTGTTGCTGATCCAGAACACTGCTACTCACACTTTCACTAAAACCAGAAATACAGAGTTCTAAAATCCTTACATTGACTTCCTGTAGCTCAGAAAATAGACTTAAAAAAACTGTTATAAAGTGATTTATTAAGTTTATAAATCACTGAACGGCTGTATTAGCACCATTATACATTAAAGATCTGCTGTTGTATCAATCTTCCAGACCACTCACATCTTCTGGTTCTGGTTTGCTCTGTGTCCCCAGAATCAGAACCAAATATGGAGAAGCAGCATTCAGCTTCTATGCATCACGATTCCTGAACAAACTTCCAGAAAACTGCAAAACAGCTGAAACACTGAATGCTTTTAAATATAGCCTAAAACCGACCTGTTTAGAGTTGCTTTTGGAACATTATCAATGAAACAATGAAACAATCATTTCATTTACACAAGTTCATTCATGTATAATGAATGAACTTGACAAAATGTGTCTAAAGATGGAACTTGACAATTGTTGACTGTGTTTTCTACATCTTTGTATTTTTCTTTGTGTTTTTATGATGTAAAGCACTTTGAACTGCCTTATTACTGAAATGTGCTATACAAATAAATTTCTTGATTGATTAATTCACTATCCTGTAAAAGACCCAGAGACGACTCATTGGTAATTCCCTTTCCAGTCCACCTGATTTATAGTAAAATCTCCTGATATTTCAAGAAATTCATTGTGCAATGTGCTCTGACTAGATTCCCACATGCAAGAGAAAGAAGACTTTAGCCTCAGTGATTCTGCATCACTGAGGCTAACCTAACGTGCTTTCTGTCATACTAAGCCAACCTGCAGTGTTTGCTGTTAAACATTTTGTCCTACCCAAATGTATGTTGTAATAAAAAAGGTTGGATTTTGTCTTTGTTTTCAGAGCCAGGTTATGCAACTGAAACAAAAACAAAATTACACATCTTAAAGGAGAGTGCTGCGGCTGCATTTCTCTCATGAAATAGATGGTCAGTTGGGTCACTCCTAATGGAGCTGAATGTGACTTCCTCTCTAATTCAGACATACAGTGACACATAAGACTGTGACGCAGAGGAAAAATAGGAAACTCAAGCCTTTGTCTGCGACATTTGTGCTGACTTTTCATTCTGCAAATCAGTACTTGTTGATTAATATCATCTGCTGCTGTGTGACACAAAAGGCTGCACTGTGTAAAAGTTTCCCTTCTACTTGGTTCATGTTCATTTGTTTTACACATTTTCAGCAACATTCATTTTTTGAAGATTTTCAAACAGGGGGCAGGGTCTAGAAGAACAGTGGTTGCTAAATGGAAACAGCTTCCTCAGTCATTAGACTTACCTCAAATTTTCCCCTTTTCTCCTGCGGCTCCACCTGAGTGTTGTTGGACAATTCTGCGTCACTCTTCGGACCACCCTCTCCTTCCATTTCTTCCACTATCATCACAGTCTCCCACTTCCCAAAGGTGTTGGCAGGGAATATGTCTGACCTCATGCTATCTCCAAAGTACGCCACCTGCAGATTCAGAAGGACAAAGCACTGTTTCATTTCAGCCATCTCACAGGGACCCTGCTCTCAGCAGCAAGTAAAAGGAACCACAACAATGTCTCTAGGATGAGAGTCTTGCGAAACTACTGTCACACCTATGTTACAGTCTCAAGTTTGAATAAAGTTAAATGTTCTAGTGAAGTGGAAAAATATGGATGGTTTTCTGAATTATTTATAAATAAAATAAGGGTGGCACGCATCTGTATCAAATCCCTTTGACTTTTGGGGTTCGTCTCTACCAGCTTTACACATCTGGAAAAGGAATGTTTCGCTCATTCTTTGGTGTAGTGATGAACTCATACCTGAGCCTTCAGAAATTCAGAAATACAGTTACAAAGTAAGCTTTCAATCACCTGAAGAAAAATTCCATGTTTAAAGAACTAATGTCCCAGCAAGAGACTCATCCAACCTTCCAGACATTTCAGGCCTTCTGGTTCTGGGCATGCAGAGCAGACATAGAAAATCAGCAATCAGTGTTTATTGGCCAGAATCTGGAACAACCTCCCAAAAAACTGCAAAATGGCTGAGACACTGAATTCCTTTAAAGATGAAAACACATTTGTTTTGATTTAAAAGAATTGGAACATAAGTAATTCTTGTTGTTTCATAATTGCTTACTGTATTATATTTTTATTGCGTAAGCACTTTGAACTCTTGTTGCTGAAATGTGCTATACAAAAACAGTTTTATTTGACTTTGACTAGCTCATTTTAATATGAAAATGCTGTGACATAAATACACCATCCACTTCAGTTGCAAATTTGTGTTTTTGTTGTACTGGAAGATGACCCCAGTCTTAACCTCTCATTAAATTGCATCGATCTTCACATAATCTTTGCATTACCACAGTATGAAGCTGACACCACCATTTATCTGAAAAATAGCCTTGAAACAAAAAACTGAATCGATGTAAATATCACTGAAGTAGAGAAGAGGCTACTTGTACTGTCTGACAAGTAGAATGAGCACACACTGAGTTATGTACACCCACTCTAGTCAGCAGCACTGACAAAAAGGCAATGGTGGGAGAAATCATATTTCCAGCATATATTCCTGGAATTGCCCACAGATGGTTCAATGAAAAGCCAGATTCTTTCAATGCCCAGCAGAGCTGATTTCAGAGGGTCACTCTAATAAATGTTTACAGAAGCCAAGAATGCCACCACAGAAGCGACACATCACAGAAAGGAATATTGCTGACTAATATGAACGAAGCTTTCATGAAGCACAGAACCATAAAGAAATCTAGACAGCTGGTTAGACTTTAACTAGCTATTACTTTAAGGGCGTTGGGGAAATTGCATATATCTATCAGACATTTGTTCAAAGATTAATTATTCTGAATTGCTTTAACTATGTTTCTGAGTGTGTTTCTTAAGAAGACCTCACTGAAGGACGTAGTCGACATAAATGTTTTGAGAAAGATTACAGCTGCAGTAAGTGTCAGGATAAGTGCTCGCAAGAAGATCCTTTGCCCTTGACACAAAGATTGTGTGAAACTGTATAACTTGTTTTTGTGTCATCAAATTTATTAATTTAACATGGGTTCCAGAAGATATGCTGTGTAATTCTGAATCACGTTGAATCTGTGACCTATTTCTCCTTTTTCGAGCTGCAACGTGTATGTATCTAGGAAACACCCCGAAACAAATAAAAAGAGGATTCTACAGGATGTATTTCAGAGTGGTAGGAGATTGTAACTGAAACACATCTCTGTCGGTTCAAGTAAAAATAATCTAATCATCTTGTTTTTTGTGTGTCTATATCTGATGTTCTAGGTGTTTAAATTTGACCCAGGGATAGTACTGTGTTTTCCAGGCACATAGTGTCATCTTATACCATAATCAAGTAACTGTCACCTTAAGATATTGCTGAAAAGTCAGTAACATAAAAAAAAAAAAAAAAATTGGGCTAAATTGCTTGGCTGGTGTACGCTCACAAGCCAAGCAATGGCCATCCATCCATCCATCCATCCAGCTCCACCCATCCTTTTCCACTTATCTAGGGTTGTGTTGCGGGGGTAGCAGCCTAAGTAGAGAGGCCCAGACTTCCCTCTCCACAGTCATTTGGGAGAGCCCAGACAACCTACAGAAAAGACTATTTTCGGTATCTGAAAACTAGTTCTTTCGGTTATGACCCAAAGCACATGACCATAGTTGAGGGCAGGAATGTAGATCGACCAGTAAATCGAGAGCTTCGCTTTTGACTTAGCTCTCTCTTCATCATGACAGACCAGTACAGCACACGTTTCACTGCAAACGCTGTGCCAATCTATCTGTCGGTCTCCCGCTCCATTTTTCCCTCATTCATGAACAAGATCCCCTGATACTTGGAAGTCCTCCACTTGGGCCAGGACATACCTCTTGACCCAATGAAAGAACTCCAGATGTTGTAGGGTTCTGGTGAGAGTTGGACTCCACCAGGGCGGCCTTTTGTCACCTATTATGTTAATTACTTTTATGGACAGAATTTCTAGGTACAGCTGAGCTGTTCAGGGGATCCGTTTTGGTGGCCTGCATCTCTGCTTTTTGCAGATGATGTTGTTCTATTGGGTTCATCAGGATGTGATCTGCAGCTCTCACTGGAGCGGTTCGCAGCCGAGTGCGAAGTGGCCGGGATGAAGAGCAGTGCCTCCAAGTTCGAGGCCATGGTCTTGAGCTGGAAAAGGGTAGAGTGCCTTCTCCGGGTCGAGGGGGTTTTCCTGCCCCAAGTGGAGGAGTTCAAGTATCTTGGGATCTCGTTCACGAATGAAGGAAGAAGGGACCACGAGATTTAGAAGCGGATTGGCGCAGCGCCTCTCGGGAACACCTTGGGATTACCCTGGAGGAGCTGGAAGAAGTGGCCGGGGAGAGGGAAGTCTGGGCCTCCATGCTTAAGCTGCTAACCCCACGACCCGACCCCGGATAAGCGGCAGACAATGGATCGATGGATGGATGCTTCTTCAGAGGTTTGGATGTTGTTCCCTTCAGTGGTTCTTGGTGCAGTATCCCCACAGGCGAGGGAGGGAAACAGTTTGCTCATAGACTTTAGTTCATTTGACGCAGTACAATGAGAATGTGAACTACACTTTAGAACAAACGTTTTATTTTTGGTCCCCGATTTAAGCTGTAAAATTGCAGTTCACCGCTTGGCATTCACATGTTCACTGTCAGACCAGTCTATAAGGTCTGACAGTACACTTTAGTGATGCTGATGAAGAATGACCACAGCCTTCATCCTTCCAGTTAAATTCTCCCAAACACTCTAAAAAGAAACTGGTCACACTTGAAGCCAGTATCATCATGTCCTGATCATGTTCACCTCCTGGAATGGCAGGAGTCACGGCAGGTCTGACAAGAGGTTCTGCGCTGCGTATAATCTTCCTTCAATGCCTCTATTCAGCCCACCTGCTTTAAGCTCTGTCAGGTTACAGTGGAGAGAAAGTGAAAACACAGAGAACTTCAATTTCCCCAGAGGACTGTTTAAAGAAGATCTAAGTGCACTTTGACACCACATTCCATGGCAGTTTTCTCCACGTGGCCGAGAACAAAGAGGACATTGAGCAGAAAACTGAAGGGAGGGGAAAAGAGGAAGGGATGTATATGATGACAAAATGTGCCAGCTCAGTAGATTTGCAGATTCCTAGTTTGTAATGACACTTTTGGCTTGTCTGTTCTGTTTTCATAAGGTACTCAACACTGAGCTACATTTAAATATTTTCTTTTCCACATGCTCTCCTGGAATAGTTGGCTAAGATCAGTGAGTCAAAATAAGTCAAACCCCTCCCTCCAAAAACATGCACATTAGGGTAACATGAAGTTAGACTTCCATGTCTTATGTTTCTCTGTGAGGACCTCTTTTCACATGTAAACCATTCACTTAGGCTTATATAAAGGTGAAGTGCAATGCTTTGGCCTGAATTACTGGTTATTGTAATTCAATAACAGATCCCTCGTTTTCCCTATTCTGAGGTGCATTTTAGAGCAACTTGTTTTGATGCGGTTTTTTATGTTAATGAGACATTTTACGACCCACCCCATTCCAGGTCGCAAAGCGTTTCACCCCACCCATTCTGCCATTTTTGTAGTCTGATAGCAGCAATAAAATTATCTACTGCAAGAACAACTATATATTCCAAAGTTTATTAAATATATCAACAGCAGAAGACTTGTCCATCCAACCTCACATTTTGGAGTCAGAGTCTGACACAGAGCGGAAGAATGAAGAAGATAAACCTGCAGAACCACAGATTAAAATAAATGCATCTGATGGAGTTATTACTGTATTTACACCCTCTCCATCTACACCAAATACCTACAAAATAGAATTACTTAACTCTCTATTGTAGAGTTAAACAGGTACGTTTCACTATAAAGCATAATAACATCTGACATACCTACGTCAGACTATGCCTACTTTAATAGGAATGTTAGATGCCTATTAAAATATTAATACTATCACAATATGAATGAAGTCTATACACAACTAAAGAGTTGGCTAAGGCGAGCTTCCAGAACATCACTGATGCATTTGCATCTGTTTCCCAAGACAAAAATGGCAAAACAAGCAAAATATGCAGTACATTTAGGAGAAGAAGCATTCAGCATCTATGCACCAAAAATTTGGAACTTCCAGAAAACTGTAAAACAGCGGAAACCCTGACTTCCGTTAAATCTCGACTAAAAACGTACCTGTTTAAAATTGTATTTGAAACGTAATCAATTAAAAATTTAATGATGGAACAATGTATTGTTTATTCTATGTTGCATTACTTTGTGTTTTTGTGTTTATGATGTAAAGCACTTTGAAATACCTTGCTGTTGAAATGTGCTATACAAATAAAATTTGATTGATTAATTGATACATTTATATCCTCAAGAAGGCAGCTATAGCAAGCACAGCACTAGCAGATACAGAAGGCTCAATGCTACTATCAAACCAATGGCTAGGACATAATTTTATGAATGCACAACATTCATGTATAACATGAGCTTTGTCATCATTTTCACGTTAACTGGAGCATATCACTTTGCTGTATTCCTTGTGTCAGTAGAGAGAAGGACCTGATGCCTCAATCAGAAAATCACCTGATACTGGCATAGGTTACTGAAGCATTTGTCCTTAAGTGCTTGGTGCAAACTGACTTTCCCCACTAATGTGGTAAATTCCCAAGAAAAATAACTTTTAACCAGACACTTCAAAGAGGCTCTGAAGCCGAGGGATGATGTAAGGAGTCATGTTAGTACACCCTAGAACCAAATATTTTGAGTTGTCTTCCTGCAACGTTGGCATAACTGAACTTGGACTACAAAATTTCTGCGAGGAAAAAAAGGGTTGATTCACAGAGCTCATTAGCAAGAATCATGATCTTGTTTAGCAATTCCACAGTAAATGGGGTGATCTCATAGCCAAGAAAAATATTATGAACAGACTGAAAAATATAACCTAAAGAGAATATGCAGCACCAGCAAAGAATCAGTTTTAATCTTTTTTCACTCCTATACATTCAAAGTACACAAAACATGTATTTAAGATTTAAAAAGAGGGTTTTCCATGACATGTAATCTTTAAGGTTTTGCAAAATTACACAACTGTTTGCATAATAAGTTGCATTTTATAGAAAAGTCAACCCAGTTTACCACAATAATTGGGTTAGATGTTTGCAGGGACCAAAAAAAGTATTTTTTGAGCTAAGAAAATTGTTTCAAAACAAAATGTAAATGATGTTCCCAACTGAAGGGACATAATTAAACAACATACAATCCACTGGAAATATCAGTTTGTAGTTGTTGTAGAGACAGTCATGTTCAAAAGTCTTTAGGTTGTACACAGCAATAATTTTACTAAATAAACTCAAAAGAAAATGTATGGAATCTCATTAGATAAAAAGAAAACTTAGAGTGGTTACTGATTACTGGGCTCAATTCCAATTTTTTGGAATTACACAAAATATGATAGATCAAATTTTAATCCACAATATCTGTCAAAAGAAATGAGACCTGTAGTTGTCTTGTGTTTCACATTGGAAATAATATGTTGCAAGATTGAGACTCCACAAGGAATACATTCACAGTATCCTGGCAAAGATCTGCCCTTCCATCAGTCCCAGAGCCATGTTTCTCCATTTCAACATCCTTGTATGAATCTCTCTGAGCTGATTTATTACAGAGTCCTCATCCCTTTTATTCTCTGCCAAAGACTGAAGTTTTGAGTCAACCTCAAAGTAAGCTGTAGATACATTTCTACTACATGTCTGGCAGATTTCTCATAGAACAGTCAACAGTTACCTTGGGTTCTGGTTTTCCTGTCATGGTCTTGAGCAGCTCGTGGAGGTGTGGCCAATTGCCCTGGGAGTACCACCCGGGCTTGTCTAGAGATGGAAGCCCCTCTGTTTCTTCCACATCATTCACTGTAGGAGCAAAAACAGGACAAGATGACAGAGTTTAGCTTCATTAAGCAAACTCTCATGCTAATTTGGAATAAAACATTTGGTGAAATTCAAAATGCTAAAAGATGACATTAGATTTGAGTTGCATGTGACAATTTCTGACGCCTCATCTCCATCAGCAGCATTTGATCAGTGAACTCATGTATTTGTGACACTGTTGTCAAATCAACTTAGCAACACTGATGGCAGTGTTGCTATGTTGATTGACAATAAAGGAGTGTCACTAAAAGTATTGAAAAGTATTGAAAATAATATAATATTGAGGTGAGGTTATTGAGGTGAACTGATTTTTTTTAACTAATTGTTAAATGTGAGGTTTCACACAGACATCTCATTGGCAGCTTTATGATGTTCACCTATTCAGTTGCTTCATAATAAAATAGGAAATTAGCCATGCATAACACAATACATTTAGACTTTTATTAGAGTTGATGAGGCTCAGTTAGTATAAGAATGGGAAATTGAGGGAAATTAAAATGGCAGAGCTGTTTTGTAGAATTTCGATCTGACATTTTTATCTGCAACCCTCTCTGTGATTTACTGAAAATGGCCCCAAAGACTGAAGAGAGTCATGGAACATAAACACCTAATAATGTCACAACTTAAACCTTGTAAACCACAACACTTTAAATTGTGTTTCAGGAAAGAGAAAAACAATTATTTATCTCTGGTTGGTTCTTTTAATTCTTTTGAAACAAAGATGTTATTCTGTTATGAAGTTATTAGATATTATATTATTAGTCATGAAGTTCATTTCTCTAAGACAGGCAATGCAACCATAAACAAAAAATGTCTACCGGAGATCACTCCAACAGGACATCATGAAGTGGGTGCTGATGCCATACTTCATAAGTCCGTCCCTCCCTCCCTCCCTCCCTCCCTCCCTCCCTCCCTCCCTCCCTCCCTCCCTCCCTCCCTCCCTCCCTCCCTCCCTCCCTCCCTCCCTCCCTCCCTCCCTCCCTCCTCCCTCCCTCCCTCCCTCCCTCCCTCCCTCCCTCCCTCCCTCCCTCCCTCCCTCCCCTCCATCCATCCATCCATCCATCCATCCATCCATCCATCCATCCATCCATCTATCTATCCATCTTCACAGGGCACACTTGTTAACGGTCACTCGTTTTCTTTGTTACAACATGCACTTGTTACTGAACCAGGTTGGTTTTAGTGACTTGGGCGAGTCCCAAGGATGTTGTTTTACATAGAGTTTTGGGCTGAAAGCAACCTATTAAATATTTTTCACCTTTTACTCCCCAGAATCAAACATCATACCTTTTTTACTTTCTTTATGCCAAAATTTCATAAGTAAGTCAACTTTTCAAGGGTCAGTAGAGCTAATTGCAGTATCTATTTGATCAAATTGGTCAAATCAATCATCTTACCTAAACTAATTTTACCTAATGCTGACACTGATAACTAGAAAAGGAATCTTTGAAAGACGGATGGAGTATGGAATTTTTTAACCCCAGAACCAGCTTAATGATGAAGAATGTGTTCCATCAGGAAGAGAGGGGTTGATCAACAAAGGCAGGAATCTCTACAGGTTTAATGAGCTTTTGTCTCTGCCTCAATGTTGAGGTCACACAGGAATTGGGTGCTGGCAGAAAGTGTACTGATTTAGAGTGTGTAGTAGTCCTCAGCTTCTTGTCTTGCAGCACTGAAGCTCCCTTCATCTTATCTCATGATCTTTCTGGTCCATTGTGATATAGGTGAGCAGACCTCATGGAAGGAAGGCACAGGTTCAAACTGACCAAAAAAAAGGATAAATGCTATCTGCTGAAATATTCTCTGCCATATCGATGTTCTTTGAGCAAACTTTTGCAATTTCATCACTATTTTACCTGCCTTTGAAACAATTCTTAATAGTTTGTCTTGAACGTGAAGTTAAAACACTTTGCCTTTGTCTTCATCATTTCCTTGGAGTTTGTCTTTTGGGTCTGAACCAAGCTGCCGAGAAAAGTGCAATTTGAAGCCACCTATTGCAGGTCTTTAATTGCAGTTACACATTTCACATCATTTCAAGTTCAATGTCAAAATGACATGTGTAACCTCTTAGCCTCTCTGATTTAGGATTTATTTATAATATTATGATAACCATAACTTATTTGTTACTCTTATTATAATCTTAATGTGAGTTATTATAGATATTCTGAAAAGAAAACAGGGACAATCTATTTTTCTAATTATTTGATACCAAAGTTGCAGTTACTTGTTTTACTTGTAAGTATTCCCACAAGCGTACGTGTAAGTATTCTGATAAGAAAAACAATATTAATACAAGCATTTTACTTTGGATCTTACTCAAAATGTTTAAATGTCATTCCTTAAAACTTTTAGGTTTTGAAATAAGGAATAGTTTCAACCATTTTTATAAATAAGCAAGCTAGAAAGTTACTTCCTCTTCCTCTTTTTTCAGGAAGCCTGCTGTTCCTGTTTAATGGCTCAGCAGCATGGCTGCCTGACTATAATTTCTTATGATTAAATAGAAAAAGAAATATAATTAAAGTAAAGTTTCCATGAGACAAAAGACAATCTGACCGATTCTATTGAAGTTTACGTTTAGATAGATCTCTGATACTACCGTGATTCATATCTGTAGCTCAGTGACGTCAGGTGAGGTTCAAACCTGGTGAGGCACTGACTTAATCATAATCAGGTTTACAAATATAGACCCCCTGCAGGTTATCGTTTACATAAGAAAATTTTGCATATGCGGACAACACTGGAGGGCAAAAAGACTATTCTTCTACATGTCATGCATAGCCCCATTGCCACCATGAACAAATGTAGCCGAGTCAATTGACACCAATTTTGTTTGGTTTTGGAAAAGGGCCGGCGGGGCATTGTTGACCTTTTGACCTTCAAACATTTATTAATATCTTCAAAGCTAAATCTACACAGCTGAAAATGTTTGCTGCACAAATGTAGTCGAGTTGACTGACATTAATTTTGTCTGACTTGAAGAAGGTGGGGGGAGGGGACAGCTTCACTCAGGTGAGGTCCAGTGACAGTTTGGGGTGCTGTGTCATCTGCTGGTGTTGGTCCACTATGTTTTCTGAGATCCAAGGTCAATGTACCACTGACCAGGAAGATTTAGAGCACTTCATGCTTCCTACTGCTGACCAACTTTATGGATATGCAGATTTTTCCAATCTGGTTTTTGTGCTCACCACAGCACATGGCAGTATTCAATGATATCCATATAAATACGGACTGTGGGAGAACCACAGTGCTGGTTCTGTTGGACCTCAGTGCAGCTTTTGACATATTACTGAATCGACTGGACAGTTGGGTTGGACTCTCCGGTTCGGTGCTCGACTGGCTTGAATCTTACATAAAGAACAGGGATTTCTTTGTTTCAATTGGAAATTTCTCATTAAAGAGGTCAAAGGTCACATGTGGGGTACACCAAGGTTCAATACTAGGACCCCTCTTATTCAATATTTATATTCTCCCACTAGCTCAGGTTATAACAGGAAATAATATTAGCTACCACAAATATGTGGACGACACACAGCTCTACATTACGATGTCACCAGGTGACTCTGATCCCATCCAATCACTGAATAAATGTTTAGAACAGATAAATGTGTGGATGTGCCAAAACTTTCTCCAGCTGAACAAAAATAAAACTGAAGTCATTATTTTTGGACCTAAAGAGGAACAATCTAGAATCAATGCATAGCTTCAGGTATTACAACTAAAAACTAGCGATCAGGCCCGAAATCTGGGAGTAGTGATGGACTGGGACTTGAACCTTGCGAGCCACATAAAGACAGTTACAAAGTCAGCCTTCTATCACCTGAAGAACATCTCCAGGATTAGAGGACTAATGTCTCAGCCAGATCTAAAGAAACTCATCCATGCTTTTAGCAACATTGATTGATTATTGCAACAGCATCTTCACAGGCCTGTCCAAGAAATCAATCAAAGAGTTGCAGCTGATCCAGAATGCTGCTGCTTGCGTTCTCACAAAAACCAGGAAGATGGAGCACAGAACACCAGTTTTAAAGTTGCTACACTGGCTCCCTGTAGCTCAAAGAATAGATTTTAAAATACTGTTGTTAGTTTGCAAATCTAACAACAGATTTGCAAACTGAATAAAACTGAGAATAAAACCGCTCAGTTTTATTCTGGTGCTAAAACTGAGCGGTTTAGCACCAGAATACATTAAAGATCTGCTGTTGTTGTATCAACCTTCCCGACCTCTTAGATTCTGGTTCTGGTCTGCTCTGCATCCCCAGAACCAGAACCAAGAGAGGAGAAGCAGCTTTCAGGATCTATGCACCAAAAATTTGGAACAAACTTCAAGAAAACTGTAAAACGGAGGAAACCCTGAATTCGTATAAATCTCAACTAAAAACGCACCTGTTTAGAATTGTATTTGAAATGTAATATGTAACAATGTATTGTTTATTCCATGAAGCATGACTTTGTGTTTTTGTGTTTATGATGTAAAGCATTTTGAAATGCCTTGCTGCTGAAATGTGCTATACAACTAAAATTTGATTGATTTGATTGATTTAATTTTCCAACAGGACTTAGCACAAAGTTCAAAGCTACTAGTACCTGTTTTAAGATCCATGGGATCCCTGTTCTTAATTGGCCAGAAAACTCACCTGACTTTAACGCCATAGAAGATATCTGGGACATTGTGAAAAGGAAGACAAAATACTTTTTGGGAACTGGAGTTTTGGGTACTGTATCGTTGTTTTTCCTCCTCCTTCACTTCCTCAGTTCCATCACGAGATGGCGCCCTGGAGCTGCTGTAACTGAAGGGCGATCCAGCTGATTGTCACACACACTTGCAGATCTTCTCATGCCACTAACCAGGCTTTAAGAGGAGCGGGTTATCAGTCCGCCGGTGTCTGAGTGTCAATCTGCAATGGAAGTGCCAGAGTTTATTGTTCTGTGTTTCCTACGTTCTTTGTGGATTCCTTGCACTTAACTTTTGATCAAAGGCACTC